TTCAGGATTGTTGATGCCATTTGTACTTCATTGGCCTTTTCAGCTGAAGGATTACCTTTTTTGGCTGTGTACTGTTTTTTAATATCTTTTGGCTATTTGTCATCCAGGATGACTTATCTGTGTTAATCATAATAGGAAAGAAACATGGTAAGATTTTGATGACACCTTCCAGAGTAGCAATTAAAAATTTGTTGGAACACTTCTAGAATAATTAAAACCATTCCTGCTAAAATTAGGTGTTTTGGAAACACGAACCCCTAGGCTTGCTGCTCCAGGCAGCATAAGTAGCTCAGGATTAAACTAAAAACTACTGAATGTCTTGACAATTGAATTTTAAAGAATTAGAAGTCTGAAAGTCAGGTGTCTGTAAGGCTGTACAAACCACAAGATCTGTAGATGTGTTTGTAGGACAGCTTTTATTTGTAGTCAGGCCTTGAGAGCTTCAAATGCTCTTTTTTTTCCCCCCCACTTTCCCCCCATTAGTGTATAGAGAAGATGACAGATATTACTGGGCTTTTGGCAAGTTCCAGTCAACTGGGATTGATGTGTTAAACATCTTTCCTTTAATAAAATACTTCACTTGGTTAAGTGCTCATGTTAAAGAACTAGGAGGATTTTGAAAATGTGCTGTGAAACTTTGAAGTTTAAAAAAAAAGGGGAGTGGGGAGGGATGTTGAGAGTATAATCTGTCAGTCCTTTTTCCCAATTTCCTTGCTAACCAGTTTAATTACAATTTCTATTGGGTTACAGTAATTTGCTTCCAAAAGTTTTTGTTGACCATATTTTTTGTTTTTCCATCTTCCACAAGAGACCCATTTTATGTGTCAGGTTGGCCTGTATGATGCTAGATTTCTGCTCAGGGTCAACAGGAAATTGACTCTCAGAAATTGCTTTTGCCTTACAGATAATCTGAAACTCACTTGAGGAAATTGTGAGTGGAACTATTGGAAGTGTTTTGTTTTCCTGTTCAGCAGTTACCAAAGATGTTATGTGCTTGTAGTGCAATGACAGTTGATGTTTTGTTCTAGATACTTTCATGGAAAAAGACTTTGAAGTGGAGCTACTAAAACTAAAATCACTCTCCAGAAAGAGAAGTGCCATCTCCCTTCAAATTGTGGAGTGTTAACGCTTCCCAAACAATGGCCCTAACTAAGTCCCTCCCAGGAGCAACATCCCTTTCATTTTTGATGTACAGAGAAGTTTATGTATGATTTGAAGACCAAAAATCGCACTCTTTTTCAGCACTTCCACCTTTCTTTTTAGCTTGCATTAGTGCTGTCCTGTTCCCTTTTGTTCTTTATGTTCCACTGCCAGTTCATCTCTTTCTCCTTCTTAGTGCTTATTCCCTCTTCTCTGCATATCCCTGGGGAGTAGGAGCAACACCTACATGTACAAAAGTGAGGAGGCTTTCTGAACCCCTTGTCTATAGTAAAAAATTTGTTTTTGTCACTCTTGGTATTTTTTGGATATCTTCAGGGAGTGTCTGAAGAACTAATCATGGTTTATATTGCTTCATCTCTTTCCTTTGAGGACAATGTCTCCTGATTACAGATTCAGATTTTCTAATCTTTGAGTGGCAAATAATCTTTCTAATCCCAGGCTTTATTCTAGGCGAGGTTTTTTTTGAAAGGAATAAATTTTTCTAGGTCTTTCTGCTTCCTTTATTTCTTTCCCACACAAATATAAGCTGAAGTCACAGCAATATTCTGAGTGTATAGCAGTGAAAGTATGAAAACCTTAATGTATTTAATTTTAAAATTCAAGCTCAATTACATTTTGTGTATTTTGTGAATTTCTTTTTGATGTGCCAGGATGTTTGGTTTGTCTAAGAAATCTGGGTAATATAGTGGGGCTGTGTGAGAGAAGAAAAGTGACTCAAAGAAGAAATGTTAAGCCAAAACCAAAATGTCAGGGATGAGGTTTTTGCTCAGGAAAAAAATAAAAACCATTGAATTTCAAGGTTTATTTGGATAGTTTTGCTTTATTGAAATAAAATGCAACACTGCTTGTATTTACCTGTATCTTTCTCAAAGTTAGGAGTATAGATTTTTACCCAGCTCTTAAATTAGTGATGTTATTAATGACAATGTTCAAGCTATGGATTTTTCACTGGAATAAACAAAACTACCCTCAGCAAAAATAAGAAGTAATAAGGGTATCTAAGGCTCATTTCTCACTGCTTTGTAATGTGAGGGTGCCTGAGCACTGGCACAGGGAGGTTTTTGAGTCTCCAAGCTTGGAGGTTCTCAAAAAACACCTGGACACGGCCCTGGGCATCCAGCGTTAGGAGACCTTGTTTAAGCAGGGCTGTGGACCAGGTGACCCCCCGAGGTCCTTGCCAACCTCAGCCCTTCTGTGATTCTCCAGAGGTTTTCTCCGTGTGAGTGTGTGCTCGGGGGGAAACTTCTGTAACTTTCATTCCTTACAAATTGCAGCTTTTTGACAGGTACGCCATTGTATGTAAGTATGAACCAATGTGCCTGGAACATTAATGTTTTCATAGGGCACAGTCTTATGGGTGCCTAATTGAGATTAAGTATTTACCTGTATGCCTTAAGTGTCTTTTTTTTTTTTTTTTTTTTAATCCTGGACTGTTACCAGGTATTCATTGCTGTCTATGACAGAATATTTCTATCTAATTTCACTGAAGTTCCTAAAAATATTATTATTTTACTGTTTTAAAATGATCATCAGTGTGTGATTCTTAGTATGTATATGCTGTAATATAAACAATGTCCTGCTTTGGAGTGAGCTGTCAGTCCTGCTTTTCAATACACACATGAGACTGCAGTATTGTTGGTGTATCACACGTGTGGAGATAGGTGTAAGTACTGAGAGCAAAAGGAGATTGATTCAATTTTCCAGGAATCAAAGATTGATGAAACTAGCATGGAAACAAAAAAATGGGGAAGGCTCATTGGGCAGCTAACTGGCTTTTTCTAGGGTTTGTGCCAGTGGTACTTGTGGCCAAAAGCAGTGGTTAGCTCTGGGTACTTGCTGTGGTCATTCCTTTTTTTGAGAGTGAGTGTTACTTGTATCGTCCTAATCTTACCTGTCTTTAGAGAACACCTGCAGTATGAGAAGGTGTTATTTACATTGACTGTCTCCATAATGGTGTATTTCTTCTTTGTCTGTTTTGACAATCCAAGGGAGGAGGATTTGGTGCTCGGGTCACTATGTAAAATGAAATATTTTCCAGGTTTATCCAGAAGAATCTGCTGCTGTGACAACTTGTGTCTCATAGTAGGGAAGAAAGGAATCCAGTTTCTGTGGCTGAGGCCTTCAGGAATCCAGACAATAGGTTTATATTTATTGTCTTGGAAAGCCTGAAGTAGATCTCTGTGCATGTATCCATGAAAGTTTTGGGTTTTCTTTAGTCCTTTGTCTTCTGTAAGGTAAAGGCTCTCTATCAGTGCTCAGTACTTAGACTGTAATCTGTTTGTTTCCTGGTAATTTATTACTCAAGTTCAAAACTTTAAATGTGTATTTGCCTTTGATGCTCACCTTCAAAATAATTCATGGAAGACTGAAAGCTGGTTTCTGAACACTACAAAAATAACATTTTTACAATTTTTAGCAACCTCGGAGCTCCTTTTCTTACATGCAAAATATGTTTTAGGAGTAAAACTGTATCCTATCCTATGCTACTTTAATTTGAAATTTAGTTGTTTGAGGTTGTTTATGGATTTGGACTTAATCTGTGCACTTTATCCTTAAGGGGAATTTTATGAAGGTCTCTTTTTGTCTATTTTCCTTTGTGCCACCTTAGCTGTTCTGCAGAGGCCTGGTAGAGGAGAGGAAGTGGTGTGCTACAAGTGATCAGCACTCATGGTCAGGATGCCTGAGGTCCTTGTTCATGGTTGATTGTTGTGATTATGTAGGGAGCATAATTTTCAGGGTAAATGCCACGTAAAGATTACCCTGTTAGTTAAGCAGTGAGGGAAGAGGTGACAAAAATAGACAAGCAATGAAGTAAACCAAATTTTCTGCTTTTAACTACCACGTAGTCTTTGCAGTGCAATATCCCCAAGTTGGTGTGAACCTGTGTGAGAAACAAGAGTTGGGTTTGCTTGTGGAGCAGTGTACTGGCAAACAAAAATAAAAGTAAAATTGTTATTTGAACATCAATCTAATGGTCCCTTCATAGCCAGGATGCCTGAAGAAAGTGTCCAAATTGCTCTATTGCTCAAAATTAGTTAAATTAGTGATAAAAATGCGAGCAAAAAGTAGGTATGATTTTATGTGTTGATATAGTTATATTTGCAAATCTAAGACTCAACTATTAGAGCAACAATTAGAGCGTTGTTACATGTTTAGACTGGAGCAAATGCTGTGCTCTGTCACCTTGTAGAGGAGTGATTTTTGTGTGTTTCACGAGGCACGCAGGGATGATGGGAATGATGGGAACGGTGGCTGCAGCAGGAGCCAGGAGCCAGCAGTACTCCGGCCGTGCGCTGGAGGGCTCTGAAGACTGACTGGTGCAGCTGCAGCTGCAGAATGTATTTTAAGGAAATTGGTGCATTGTACCTGCACAGGGTTTAATGCTTGCTGGGCCATTTGGCTATTTGCCATAATTGGCTTTCCATTCCCTTGATTGGAATCATAGATAAAAATTTGCTAATCCACTTTCTTTGCTGAAAGTATTAGGAAAGTAATCCATCTTTTAAAAATGCTCGAGCAAAATCATACGGTATAAAGAGTACTTTATGGAATAATGAGATTAATGAGAACTGTAAGGCATATGCAATTTAAAACGTTTTTCTGTGGGTTTAAGGGGGAAAATGCAATCTGGACACTATAAAACCATAAGTACTTCCTTTTTTTATGCACTGCCTTTTAAATGTGCATTACATGTTATGCTTTTGTCTACATGATAAAATGTGAGTATATATTTTGGAAGAAGGATCTGCTATTTATTTGTAATTTTCTTATATTTAAAAATATCTGATTCAAATTTCTTGACTGTATTCTTTCCTTCCTCTCCCTTCTTCTGCCCACAGGGCATCAGAGCACGTATTTTGGAAACCCTTGTAATGCTCATCCTTCTTGCACTGCTTATCCTTGGAATCGTATGGGTTGCTTCAGCACTTATAGACAATGATGCTGCCAGTATGGAGTCTTTATATGGTATGGAATGCAGAAGAATTGTCACACTAATTTAATTTTAATTACAGAAATGAGTATTTCCAGTTAAGTATATTTTTAGTAAATGCTATGTGACTATTGCACAGGTTGTAAAGAATCTCCATTCAGTCAGTGCCATTTTTCTGTGAAATTCTGTGACATAAGTAGCCTGTATAATAAGCTAAGGCTGTGCTCAATGTTTTCTTTACAGACCTCTGGGAATTCTACCTCCCATATTTATATTCCTGTATATCACTGATGGGATGCTTGTTACTTCTGTGTAAGTATTTTCCTGATTATTCCAAAATATGAACCAATTTAATGTTGGGGGGGGTTTGCGTGGGTTGGGAATTTTTTTAGTGGTAAGTTTTTTTCATGATTAAAGGAAATTTTTTTGATTGTGAAAGTTAAGAGTTTGATTTTTTTTTTCCTTTTCCTAGTAAGTTTAAATTCAGATGTAAATTTGTTAGGTTTGGGTTCTGAAGTTTAAACAAATGATACCTTACATTTCTGGGTTTTGAGCAACTTCAGATCTCACCCAAAACAATTTTAACTTATTTTAACTTATAAGTTGTTAAAGTAGGTAGGTGAAAAATAGGAATTCCATTCTGCAAAGAAAAGCACAACTTTTAAATGAAATGTCTGCAGGAGGTTGGTGGTATGGTGAGAAAATTATTTTGGAACACTTTGTCCTATATTCAGTGAACTACCTTTCTTCCTTTTGTAATTGAAAATGTTGCTGTGTAGACAGGAGTTGGAAGATGGTGCAGTCAGGTTTCATAATCACTGAGCTGGTATCTGGCCAGTCTGCAGGTCAGTTATGCAATTGCATTTAAAACAAATGCAGTAAAACTCCCAACTTTATATCAACTGGTCTTAGCCAGAGTTGAGTCATCCGTGTTTAGGGGAATAAGAAACATTATGGAAGGCTCCAAATCCCACTTATAATCTCAACCCCATCCCTGAATGCTTTCTAGAAAACTGCTGAGAGGGACAGAACATATCCCTCTCTAGACTGTCATGGTGTCATCCCTTCTCCAAGCTTGATAAGTTCAGAGCTAACCCAGGGCTGCCACTGTGGAGAAAGGGTGGGGAATGATAATCTGAAATGTCCCTAATACTAAGCAGATCTGTCTATGAGAAACCTTGGTGAATCTCTCGAGGTTTTCTGTGTGTGCAGATTCCCAAATCCACTTTGGAGGAAGCTGGGAGAGGTAAAACACTGTGGTTCTTGGTGTCTGGTGCAGCCTGTTCCAGAGTGTGATTCACAAGAGGTGCTGATAATGGGAAACTGGTTTACAAAACTTCTGCATCTGCCCTGTAGTTTTGTTTCAGCAGAGCTGAAAACACAGCCTGTGTTCTGGGGCTGTTGTAAACCAGTTCACCAAAATCATTGTGATTAAATGCCAATTTTTGGAAGAGTTATGTATATCTTGTACAAGCAAATCACTGAGGTTATTTAAGGCCCTCCAAATGCTGTTAGATCTGTGTAGCTGAAAGGGCAGCATAACAGCAGTGAGTCAGCTGCTGGAGTAGAGCTTCTGTAGATCTTCAGCTGGTTTAGTTGCTGCAGCAGTGTTTGAGTAAAGCCTATTGCAGTGGTGATTTGGAGCATCACTTCCTTTCTCTTTTCTCCTTTTCCTGTAGGCTTCCTCTGCAGTAAAAGAAGACTGGCTTAAGTTAGATTTTTGAGTACTCTTGTATTTTTCCTGCGATACATAGAAATTACAGTGAAACATGAGTTAATAAAAATAAATGTAATCCTCACTATAAAATCTTGTGGGCTTCTCCTTTTTTTTTTTTTTGGCAACGCTTCTATTATAATGGAAACTATAAATATATAACCTCCTCTGTGCTGTTACAAATTCCTTCATCTCCTACAGGTTTCAGTATTTGAAAGCTGGTCTCCCTTAACTGTTACTTTTTAATGATAATTTTCTATTAGCACAGTTGAGCCTTTTTCCCAAGAAGCATATATGCAGCATTCCTGGAAACCATCACAGGCTAGGATCAGAAAGGACCCATTGTTATTTCTTAGCTGCCAGATTTTAAGCTATTTGCTGAGCCTGTTACCAACTGAAGTTGCAGGATGACTTTCAGAGCAAAGTGGCTTTGGGATCTCTTGACCTTGCAGCTACACCTGTGCTAGTAGTTGCAATGTGCCTGAGATGTTCTCCAGTGCAGTGGCCAGCCAGTGTCATTCCATTCAGGATATTGCAGTTGGCAGAAGGTGTCTGTGTATGTATTGCCTCATGGTAATGGTTCCTGGGCTGCATGAACTCCAGAACTGCACTGAGAATTGTTTGAGAATGTGCTAATTGGCCCAGGGCAAATCATGCTAGGGATAGTTCTAGCAAAATACTGGTGTAGGCAATCCATTCTTAAAGCCCAGGAATGTATCCTAGCACTGCTGAATTTACTAGTGTAGACATATCCTCTGGTGCCACATGCTTTGAATAAATAATTAGTTGAGAAAGTTTTAAGATATTTGATAATATGATGTTCCTTGTTGCCGAAAGAAAAAAATCACAGTTAAGCTCTTGAAGGGGAGAGATGCTCGTCTTGTTCAAAAATCATATGACTGCAATGTGCTTAAAACTTCACCTTTGCAGCTTGAAGCTCTTGCAGTTCTCTTCAAAACCAAAAAATGGTTATGTGTGGAATAGCACAGCGAGCATCCAATAAAAAATTGGTCTTTTTCTTACAAGTGACTGTTTTGCATACTCTCTCTTCCCCTACAGTGTGCACGCCAGTGGGACTCTCACGGATGTTTACAGTTATGGGTCAGTTGCTGGTGAAGCCGACAGTAAGTGCCACACAATTCTATCCTCCTGTGCAACCTGGGTGAAGGTAGAATGGCATTTGGGTACTTTCTTTTAACATGCTTGTACTTCTATGGAATTCTGACTTCAGGTGATCAGAGTTTCTATAGCCATGACTTGCGTACTCATTTGAAATTTTTCATGTAGCACATGAACCTGTTTTTTTGTTCCACAGAAAATTTTGCTTCTAATAATACAAACTTCCTCTGATTTTTCAATTTTTATCAATGCTACTACTATTATTCATTACCAGTATTCCCTACTGTGTTTTACAAACACCTGAAAAGTGTGGGCTTGTTCTGAGTTCAGGAGCAAAGGATCCAAGAGCAAACAAAGACTGTATAACAGGAAGGGTACCTGGGGGTACACATAGATGGGTGAAATGTGGGTAGTTGGCATAACAAAGAACTTGTTATGCACAGATAATCTTCTGTTCACCTACTGAGTGCTGTGAGGGATGGGAGAAGTTCCTACCCGTACAAGTGCTCTAGTGATTGGCTGTTGCATTTCCTTGTTCATAGTTACTAAAATTTGGGTGCACTTAGGTCTTGCATTCCTTTTCATTGGTCAGTTCAATCCTGGAAATACAAAGATAATATGTACTGTTTTGCTATCCATGAATTTTAATCTCTAAGCACCTGATAGTAAGGTAGACAGACTTAATATATTTGGTTTTAACTTCGAATAGCAATTTATATTTGCTTGAAATACTGGCTTATGTGAAAAGTTAACTTTTTAATATACTTTTTCAAAATCTGCAGTTATTTTTGTTTAAATTGAGTGTGAGGGTTGATATGATTGAAGGTAGGTCAGATTTACTGTTCCATCTCTCTAGACTGAAACTGAACATAAATAAAAACTTAACAGGAAGTTTACTTGCAGTAAAGAAACAGATCTGTAGCAGAACGGAATAATCGTTTTGTGAAGTTCTCATTTGTGTCAGTATTGTAAAGTGTAGACTCTATATTTAAAATATGGGTTACTGGAGCAAAGTGAACCTGATTATATTAGTGCAGTGAGGAAAAAAGTGCCTCTGATACTCAGTTCAGGTTTCTGTTTCCAAATACAGATCCTGGAAGACCTAGATGAGCAGATGTACATCATCACTTTGGAGGAAGAAGCAATTCAGAGGAAGCTTAATGGTATGTATGGTATGCTTGTTGTGATTCTGCTCCAGATACAGTATCTAGGGTAGAGTGGTTCTGCTCAGGAGCATTGGTCTCACTGTTTTCTCTTAAAATCCAAAATTTCGACATCTTAGCATGCAGAAAGTGTTATATGTGTGTGTTTCATTGCTCACTGGGTTGTTCAAGATTGGCCTTTACGTGTCTGGTTCGCTTTGGGTTTGTTTTTAACGTATTCATCAGCTCTAATGTGTGAATGTTCTGAGTAAGCAACTGAGCAGTGACCAGACCCACAACTGTTACTGCAAAATATCTTGGCTTGGTAAATGACTCAATTTTAGCCTTGTCTGAAGAACCACTAGCTTCTATAAGCAAGAGATTCCACTTCCTACAATGTGTGTTTTGTTTTTAATTTGGAGGGTTTTTTGTGTTTCAGTTCGTTGTTATTCAGAATCTAAGGCAATAATCCATTTAAAATCAGAGCAGTCCTTTATATTCTAGGAACTATTTGATGAATTTAATACTTCGAATAATTATATTAATAAATAATTAAAATGCATAATTATAAAAATATAGACTTCTTGTATTTAATATTACAACCTTGCGTTTCTTAATAAGATGTTTCTGTTTGGAAGTATTTAAAAAACAGTATGAAGCTTTGACTTCCAAGAGAAAGAGTATTGCAACATGGCAGGTACAAATTATGGAAAATGTATTGGTTCTATAAACCTGGAAATCATGTGCAGATCTTCTGACTTGCTTTTAACTGCACAGATAAGCCATCCATCCACAATTGTTTCAGGTTGGAAAACCAAAGAATATTCATATCATGACAAACCCATTGTTGTGCTGTCTTATGACTTATTGTAGTCTTAATTTTCTTAATTTCCTGCTTTTTCTCTCCTGCTTTTCAGTCTTCTGTCATATATCTCAATCCTTCCTTCTTTGAAGTCTCAGTCTCCTTTCAGAGTTGCTTGGTCAAGGAAAGTACCTTTGATAGCAGACATCATGGGGGTCGTCTTTATTCCAGTGTTTAAAATTTCTGGAGATTTAATGATTTCTTTGTGTTAAAATCAGCCATTGTTTCAGTTTAAAAGTAACATTCACCTTTGCTGTTTTGGAAGCCCAGGTTTCTATACTATTACACATGTTTATATGTGCAGTCACATACAGGCACACAAAAAGATGCATGCAGTGAATGTCTTTGAAGCTGTGATGGGGTAATTATGATTGTTCTGTGTGTTTGATGTTAGCTGGGAACTGTAAAATATTTTTTATGGAGTATTTTATGTTGTCATGGTGATTGTGCTTGCGTATGACACAAAAAAATGACCTGATGGTTATTCAAGTATCTATTGGAAGTAGCACAGAGCGGGTTCTGCTGTTCAGGTGGGGAATGTGATTATTTAGGTGATGCTTGTCTGCTGTTTTTCTGTGCAGAAGTCTGTGCAACAGTTGTTTATATTGCAGTTTAATATCACTCGTGGGGTGGACCTAGTCTGTCTGCTAAATGGGTCTGGATTTAGGATGTGTACAAGTGGCTCCCCAGCTGCTAGTGAAAGACTGGATTCTCTTTTAGCACATGGGTTGGTATTCAGTGAAAAGTGGAAAGACAACCCACCCATGGTCCAGGGAGCACTCACCAGCCTACTGCTCAGCGGTGAAAGATGTGGGGCTTAAATGTCCTGTGACAGGAGAGGGAGCTGAATTCCTCTGTTTCCCATGCTAAGGAAATGGCATTGGCACCCCCACCTGAAGGAACGCTTGAAAAACCATTGTTTGGTGTACAGAGAAAATTAATGGACTTAAGGTGAAAAGTAAATGAAAATCTAAACTTGGATATAGCATGTAGGTTGGGGCAATATATGTGCAAGAAGATACTCCGCAGGATTTTTGTGAGCAGTTAAGTAAATTTAAACATGGTTCTCACTTAATATGGCAAGCATGGAAAGCTTCACCTTCTCTTCTAGAAGTCTTTCTAATGCATACAAATTATGCCAGAAAAATAGACATCATTATTGCCAGAACTATGAAGGCTCATGCTTACCATGTTTATTGCATTTTTAAAAAACATGTGCAAATAAAGGTGGTGCTAATTACATCAGTAAATCTAGTGCTGTGATGTTAGAGGCCATAATCTGCGTCTTAACACACAAACTGTATAAGTCTCTTTGTTGCTGTATCACAGCAGATATATCTGGCTACACATTTCCCCTGCCATGGCTGTTGCAACTCTTCCATAGTGTTGGTGGTGGAAATATATGTGCTAAAGTAACCCTGCTGGGCAGGTTTGCAGTGAAGTGTTCTGAAATATATGCTTGACATATATATAACCAAAGAGTTCAATTTTTATTAAAACTGAGGAGGACCAGAGCAGGGGCTTAAGCGATACTTGATGACTGTAAAGCTCTTCATATTTGAAAATAAATCTAACTGTGAAACTGTAGATCTTTGTGGGAACTAATTTTCTTCCTCCTCAGGTGTCTGCAGTGTCTAACTGAAAATCGGAGGAGGAGGGAGGGGAAAGTTTGATTGTGTTATCTACCCTAGTATTTTTATCTATTGAAGAGATACTGGGCTTTGGGAAAATGTTCGTTTCCAGTGTATTATATTTCAGTACCCACATCACTCCTACAGTCGAAGAATAAAGCTGGGACTTTTTTATATTAAAAGAAAAAAAGTTGCCTTCAGCTATTAGTTTTCCTGAATCCAAAGAGACGGGTGGGGTAGGATCAAAAATACTTACTTGATCAAAGTTATTGGCTCTGAAGGTATCCTTACCTATGTAAGAAAGATGAAAGGTGTTGTTTTTATTGCACACTAGTAACAGTGTAATTTTGAACTAATTGGTGTTGAACTGCCAATCACCTTGGGGGAATGCAAATAGATACTCTTACAATTTCCTTTGAGGTACTGAAATCTTATGTCGGGGCTGGAAGAAAAACAGAATAATACCGTTAAATTGACCTTAAATGAGCTGCTTTGTGGCTTTCTTGGAGAATCCCTTCTAACTTTTCATTGCTAGTCCAAACAAGTCTTGTCTACCAATTTGATTTATTGGCTAGACAGCGCTGACATTGAACTTTGTGCGTGTTTGAAATCAAGCTAATGTTAGAGAGCTTTTAAGAATTTAGCTGCATCCTTTTCAAATACTCTTTTGACTGATCTGAAACTTTGCCTTCCCCTCTCGTAAAATATCCTTTTGTGTAGCAACCTGTTGTTTGCAACTGCTTTTAAGGAGGAACTACAACAGCACTTAGATATGATTCAGGATTTCTACTGACGTGTCTCTTGGGGACCTAATGTGATCACGCTGACTTTGTTGGAAAGACTCCTATGAAATCAGTGTTTTGAGCTCTGGATTTCTATATTGAGGGGAGAAAACAACATATATATTCAATTGAGCTTTTCCTCAGAGACCTCTAAATCAGTTATGGAGAAGAAGAAAGTGTCAGATACTGACTTGAGTTTTCCTTCTTTTTCAGCTGTTTCCATTAAAGTTCTTTTCCCACTGAGCTCTGTATCTGTCCTTTTTCCCACCTCATAGTAATTAGTCATTCCATAAAAAAGATGTTTTAGACTTTTTTTTCAGACAGAATGCATCAGCACAAAAGCTTATTTCTATAGTGATAAGTAGCTTCAGGGGCTTTTTTTAAAAGACATGACTTTTTCTGAAAACCCACATTATGATTACTCACTTAAAAACATGGAGAAATTAAACTGGCATTCATATTTCAGGCACTTCAAGTGAGTAAAAGTTGTTACAAAACAGTGTTTGGAGGTCTTACTGGTTAGTCCTGGGATTAGAGATATTTATATATCTGAAGCCCTGCAAATATTACCCCCCACACAGTATGTCACTATAATCCAAGATAAATGTTTAGGCATAGCACAGAGGTTATGTGTTATATGCAAAAATGTGTGTGAAGAACATTTGATTAAATGTGTAAAAATTAATATTTGAAACAGTTGGATGTCTCATTGATGATTTGACTGCATTGAACAAATCAGTATTAATACTCTGCAATAAAAAGAATAACCTTCTTTTCTTGTACTGAGATCACTGGATGGATGAGCAGACAACAGAAAATAAGGAAATAATGAGACTGGACTACAAAGTAGTGCTAGTGTGCCAGCAGCCTAAGTGCTGTTTACTTTTTGTAGCCAAATGATCAAGATATGAGATAAAAGCCTGGAGAAGAATATTAATCTCATATAAAAAAAAGTATCTGGAGCATGGTGCTACTACAGGGTAGCCCACAGCCAAAGGTGAGGCTGTGGGTAGGGAATGGCCAACAGGTGAAGGGTGTGAATGTAAATTGAGACAAATGATAACAGGAGAGGACTTTGGATTTGTCAAGACCTTGAACTGTCACTGCCATGGAGTGTTTTTGCAGAGTGAGATTGGTCTAGAATAGACAGGGAAAATATGAACTCTTATTTTCAGGTGAAATTATTCAAAAATAAAAGGGATGAAAGTGGGGCAAAGGTGAGTGGAGAGTGTTTCTAACTTATCCCAGGAGGAATATTTCCAGTTTGTGATTGCACAGAGTGAAAGCTAAAGGAGGAATAATGAGATGGGAACTGAAACAGCAGATTTCAGTCATCATTGCAGAGCTGTGTCAGTACCTGAACGCTGTGCAGCATTTGTGGAGGAACTGGCATCAAGGAGGGAAAACACGGTGTGCTTGCACTGGGAAAGAGGAGTGGTTGGAAGAGCATGGAAGGTTGAAGAGAAAAATAATGGAGAGAGAAAATGGGCTGGGTTTCCTAGAGGCTGTATAGAGATAGGAAGAAAAGTCACTTAGCAACTTTTAGGGAAAAAATTAGCAGGAAGAAAAGAGTTAATATTGTGGTTGTCAGTTTTCAGCTGCTGTAGAGGAAAGAGTATGAGGAGTTGCACAACAGTGACACACGTATGCTATAAACTGTGAAAAGGAAAGCAGAAGAGTATGGCCTTGTGGGGTTGTGGGCAATATCTGATTGTGGCTGTCAGAGGGGGGCCCTGTTGCATGGAGAGGCTGACAGATCAGGCAAACTGGTATGAGCAGAAGATATGTTAACAAGCAGGTCAGCAGTATGCAAACTGAGCTTGCTGAGGAAAGGGAAGGTGGGGCAGAAGCTGAAACTGGAGCTCTAGACACTTTGGAGGCAAAGCTCCGCTTTGCCTTTGTGTTGCTGAGTAATAATGCCCTTGAAGGCAAGAATCATAGAGGGATGCAAGAACGAGGCATTTGACACATCCCACCTGTCACGCTGTGGTCGTGTGACCTGTTCGAAAGCTCAGCCATAGCTGTTCTCAGCAGGACAGGCCTGGATCACAGATCACACTGAAACCTCTGATGTGCTGAACTCTGCTGGTTAGACAGAGTTAGAGGCTCTTGACTGTTTTTTGAGAAGTAGTTAAGAGTCTCAAACGAAACACCTGCAGTTTCAAGTCACAGGTGTTAATGTGATGCTTCCTAAATCTGAATTGTCACCGTGTGTCTTACAGTACTTAGTCTTATCCAAAATACTGTGTTCTTTTTTAAAAGGTGTATCTTCCACAGTGGAATACCAGACAGTAGAGTTGGAACGGGAGCTTGAAAAAGTGAAAAGCAAGAAAACAAATCTAGGTAATGAACTTTTCTAATGTTTCCTGTGAATTATAGTTTAATAAATGACCTTAAGGTGCTGTGTTTAGCTTGTAGCAGTGGCTTGATTGACTGCAGTTTGATCTTAACCAAATCTGTGTGCTTCAAATTGTCATAGTTTCTACAAATACACGACATAGAATCCTTGTGCCCCTCCAACAAACAACTTTAAGTAGCGAGTCTGATTTGGATCTTATTTTTAACATAATTTTAGAGAAATTGAAACACTTGACTTCCTTGCATGGAGCTCAATACCATGGTCTTCCCATAACTAATGATATGTTTATGATTATTTGTGTTAATCTATGACAGTACTTTTCCTTTTTGACTTCTTTCTATAAAAATCAAATTGTGTTAAAGAGCAGTAAAATAATTCTTAGCAGGTTTGTGTCTTTTAAAATGGAAAAATGATACTTCTGGTGATGGCAGCAACTCACCAGGGATTTCCTTACTTATTCAAAGGTTTGTGGGATTTTTGCATTTATCAGTTTATGTGCAAACTAAGACTGCGGTAAGAACAAATTGTGGGGGTTTTTTTGCACATGCTAGTGATGTCCAGTGAAGTTGGTCTTGTCTTTCTTGCCTTACAAGAGGAAAATACCATTTAAATATCAGAAATTCTGTTCTGTCCCTTTAGGTCATGCTAATATATACATGTAAACAGCATATTTTTAAATTCAGTGTATTTTCAACTTTGTAGAACTGCTGGGTGCCAGGAGAAGAAAAAGCTATGGTAAAGCATGCCTGTAAACAAGAGAGAAAAATCTGTTTGTTTCTGTCTCCCCAGCCTTTCTCTAGAGAGGCTTCATATTTTTGGCATTGCTTTGTGCAGCTCTCCAGGGTGGATGTTTTTATGAAATGGTTGGTGTTTGTTTCAGATAAAGTTACTGTTGTTACCTGTAGTTACAACAAGAGTTTATAGATAGCTGAGTGGTTCTTACTTGTTATATTCTGAGGTGATCTATGCTATTAAGCTTCTGATTTTTCTCTTCTGGACAGAAAGGAGGAAAAAAGCTTCTGCTTGGGAAAGGAATTTAGTCTATCCAGCTGTCATGATATTGCTACTGATTGAGACGGTAAGAACTCTTGCTTTTTTTTTCCTCCTCTTTTCTTTTTCTTTTTCCTCAACAAAAATAATGAAGAATTCTTTGTTCATATGGGGGAATAATTGTAAAATTTTTGGGTGATGTGTGTTTAAGCAACAATTTTGATATTTTTGGATATTTCTGGACCATTTTAAAAGAACTTGACATTATGGAGTACGGTGGGGATAAATGTATACATTTTAAGCATGTGGAATACTTTTAAATAACAAGACTATTTCTGCTTTATAGTCCATCTCAGTTCTCTTGGTTGCTCTCAACATTCTTTACCTGTTGGTGGATGAGACTGCAATGCCAAAGGGATCAGGGGTAAAGTAAACTTTTCTTATGATTTTTATAAGTTTAGTAAAGCTTTGGAGTCCTTACAGAAGTGCAAGTGAGAACTTCTGCTTTAATAACATGGAAACTAATGAGCCTTGACCTTGACTTTACTTCTGGATTTTGTTTCTGTGCAAACACAAACGTTTATTACATGTCATGTTATAGTGAGTTCATATCAAAACTAGTGCAGAAGCTTTATGTAGATACAGTGATTCAGTAAAGCAAATCTGTAAAGTCTGTACTTTACTCATGTCTTCTACTTTCATACAGACAAGTAATGTTCAATTTAAGAAACTATGTTAAAAAACAATATGAAAAGCTTGACTTGGTTTGTGTTCCTCTTAGAAAACATGTCATTTTTTCCTTCTTTACTCTAAAAATACTTGAAGAAAGTAAAGAACAGCTCATTGACTCATAGTATCTTTAATCACAAGGGCTGTTTTATCAACTTGGTAGTGCTTTCCCCAGGGCATAGCTGAGTATGAGCTGCCAGAGCTGTACAAGGTGTTCAGTGGGGATGGCCACTAGAAATGTGTAACTTTGAGGCATCTTATTTTAGTTTCCAAAGCAGTGGAGTATGTATAAAACACAGCCTGGTGGGTGGGTGCAGAGTGCATCCAAAGTGCATCATTATCCCTTCTGTCTTGGCAATACATCTCACTGCAGTTTGAAAGCTGCTGATGCCATTGCATGGGATGGGGGACTTGCAGGTTAGGACATCAGAACACCCCTAAAACACTGTATTCAGAAAAGGCTATATTCATGGAAGATGTTAATTTTTTGGTCCTGGTAGATGTTAACTTTATGAAGTGTTATGTATCTTATTAAATTCTGTGATTCTGTGAAATTACGCAAAGTTTTTTCTTCTTGCAGGGGCCTGGAATAGGAAATGCCTCCCTATCCACCTTTGGCTTTGTGGGAGCAGCACTTGAAATCATTTTGATTTTGTATCCTTTCTGTAAGAATTCTGGCTGTTAACAAGTATTCTGTCTAGTTTTCTGGGACACTGGTAATTTACTAAGACACTTGCCTGTAAAGAAGAAAGAGATAGGTCAGTCCTTCTCAAACACTTGAAGTGTTTTTGTTTCTTTTTTCTTTAGTTCTTAAGACTTTTAGGAGACTGCTGAGAACTTGAGTGAAGCTTGCATTCCTTGGAGGTTCCTTTTTCCTTGATTCTCACAGCTATCTCATGGTATCCTCTGTTGTCGGCTTCTACAGTCTTCGTTTTTTTGAAAATTTCACTCCCAGGAAGGATGACACAACTATGACAAAGGTGAGGTGCAGTCTGGGACCGGGATGGCCCCCTCCTCTCTTTCTTGCCACCCAAGACAAACTGACTCTCTTAGTAATTGCCCTGAATGGCTCATTTGCAGTGATCAGTATTTGTTTGTAAGCTGCGTAAACACAAACTGGAAGATTTTCAAAATGCTGAATGAGTGGGAAAAAGGATGTGCTCTGTTTAGTTTGGATGGCATCCATTCACTTGTAAAAAGCCGGGAATGGCAGAGCTTGTTAACTGGCTATAGAAAAGCAAGTGAAAGAACTTTTTTCAAAGAAAACGTATTGCTAATGAGTAACTTTGATTGTGCTAACTGTACTTCAGGGAGCTTGTTTGAGTTCTGAACAACGTGGTTTCTAGAAGTAATAGAGACAAAGTAATTCAAATTTGAATAATTAAACTAAGACTGAGGAGGGCTATTCAGCAACATTTTGCAATCTGAAGCTAATTTGACTTTCTACAATTTATCACTGGCTTCCGAATAATAGATGCTGTTACCTAATGCCTAGGTTTTTGGCAAAATATTCCCACAGCTGACAAGGGGAGGTGATCAGTAACTAAGGAACAGATGTTGAATTTAGTTAGTTTTTCAGTGTGTTTCATTGTTTGTTTTTGTTGTTGGCTTTTTGGTTTTTTTTTAAGTAATGGATGAAGATATTTTTACTATAAATTGTTGCAAGGGAGAAAGTAGATCAACACAGAGAATGGTTGTAGTAGATAAGTTGTAGAGATTTGGAATGCTCTTATTGTTTCCTTTTGACTGTTTACAGTACACCAGGAATAGTGTTGAGATAAATAGTGAATGCACAAATGTCTACCTACTTTCAAAAAGTTTTCAGGTTTGTTTCTTTTCTTTTGGATACTGATAGAAATAGGGCTGAAGAAAATGATCCCTTGTGAAAGAAAGTTTCAATTACTCTTTATAAAGGCTTCACAAGAACTAGAGTAAAATCTAACAGCTGTGAATTTTTTCGTACTATTTAAAGTAGACAACAGGCATTGAATTGAAAGGAAGCTCTTTGTTGTAATTTTTTAAATAATGCTAATCCTGCAAGCAGTTACATCCAAGGCTTAAGCTGATGATGTATCAGTCGTCTCTTCTAAGCCCATGGAATGATTCTTGTATAAAACGATCGCAGGAATTAAGTAAACAGTTGATGCTTTGCAACTTGGTAGTTTTGAATTATTTTGAATCTAAGCATATGTAACACTTTGATTAAAAGCACATGATGACATATTTGATTCTTTTTAAGGATCATCTTCGTCTTGTGTAACACCATATGGGAAAGTGTGACAGAAGTCAGCGAGACTAACAATATATTACTGTATTATTAAAGTAAATTGCTTTAGGTTTAATTTGTAGAATGTACCTTTTAAGAATTCTTCCTTTTCATCTTGACCACTGTTTTTCTTTGTGTTCCCTTCAGCAATCTCATTTGTTGTTTAACTACTGTTTATTATTTTCAAACAGATCATCGGGAACTGTGTCTCAATCTTGGTGCTGAGCTCTGCTTTGCCAGTGATGTCAAGGACACTGGGTAAGTGAAATGGAAGTACAACACACTGTAATAAAGGATGTTTAATTGAATTTAAAAAAACACACTGTAATAAAGGATGTTTAATTGAATTTAAAAAACCAACCCAACTAGACAAAAGAACAACCTGTAGCTGTATTTTAATTTGCCATCATTTTCAATGGAAAGAGCATGTATGCATGGGCTTCTTTTTTACACCAGAGTGAGCTGTTGAACGTACATTCTACATACATGAGCTGCAGAACATACTTTCTAAGAAAGGGATGCTAAGCATTTTCTACAGAATATATTCTTTTAAAAAGGTAGGTCAGATTTGAAACTTAGAACAGGAGATGATGAGAAGAATAGTTATGAAAACTGATTGTCCAGGGAAGTATAAAATAATTTCATGTTTGGTGTGAAATTACAGTGCTCAGTTTCTGTCAAAAAACACATTCAGGGATTTCAGGTAAAACATTTGAGATAACATTGAGTGAAAATGTCTTGTTAAAAACAGTGAATGACCCTTCATTTATTAAGTTTTTTCTTTATCAGCAATGATACCAGGCTGCTTTCGTTTTCCCTAAAATAATCTGCTTGTATTTTTTGTTAGTTCATTTTTCAAATTAAAAAATTTGGAGTCCAGCATAGTAGAACTGAAGAACTTCTGATTCTATTGTTAAGAACTGGCAGTAGCATTTGAAGTAGTTAAACTGTTTTAACCAGTTTGAAAGACGTTTTGTATCTTCACCTTGTTTAATAAGGTAATCTTCAGCTTGAATTCCTGAAGTTAGATTTCAAGGCTATTATATATTTAAGTGGTATGGAATTCTTGCAGCCAATGTGAATTTCATTGGGAACATTAAGTGGAACTAAACAAAAATCTTCACCTCGGCCTGTACAAGTCTTAAATACAAGATTAGAAGTTTTAGCTCAGGCCCACAGACCAGCAGTGTGTGCCCAGCAGTTCTGTAGCTGTTTTTCTTTTCAGCCAGAATACTGTTGAATCAAGAGTAGTTAATGTTTTCTAGTAAACTACACTGTATGTTGTCACACTGGGTGTACCCATGGATGAGGAGTTTTAGTAGATTTAGTAGTCATTTCTATAACAGACAAAAAAACCTCTGTAATGCATTTTGGAGTGTTGAATCTTAAAATATGCATTCTAGAGCTCATTTTTAAAAAATCTGTAGTAAAACTTCACAGAAGTGCAAAAGAATAATTCGAGTATTTAAAGTAGTGCAGTTTTAAAATATAGACAGTACAATAAAGATCTAAGAAGTAAAATGGTTCTAGCACATAGAGCAAGATGTTATGTTGAAAAATCAGTGTTTTAGAACAGAATTAAAATGTTAGTTTGTGTCCAGTGAGTTACTGCATTCAAGAATTGTTTAAAAGAAAATAAAATTAATTGTTAATGATCCATGAGATTAAGAGTTGATAATAACCGGATTCTGTGGCAGTAAGTGTACACGCTGGGTCCATTGTTGTCTCATAGGAAACAGATTAATGGTAAAACTCACTTTAAAAACAGACTAACAAATGAAATTCCTGAATAGTTTGCCATAGAGATAAATAAAAGAAGAAAAAAGATGGAACAATTAACACACAGCTAACAAATGCACAGTCACAGCTGTCCAAACAGGATTAATAGAATGTATTAGAGTACAGTGAGTCATGTGGTGCTTTGCAGAAATATCAATGTGTGTTGCACTACATGCCACCGCCCTGTGGCACTGAATAGATGAAAAGAAATAAATATGTTAAGCAGATTCATAGTCTTTTCTCTTTATTAAGAAAGCAGGTTTCTAGACTATACTGAAAAGGCTGGACTTTATCTTTATGGGAAAGGTGAAAAAGCAGAAGTTATCTAATACATGTAGTGACCTTTTTCAAGTTTTAAAAATGGAAATAGAATTTTTTATGTTTCATAGCATTCTTATTAGATATGTAGGTGATGGATGTGTCTAATCTGTCATTCTTCTAGAACTCCAGGAAAGTTTTTACTAAAATAAGTTATTCTACTTAAGTTAATTCATTTTTCCCAGAACTTTTCAGTCTTTTAGCAGCCCTTCAAAAATGTTTCCCATCAGCACCCTACTGCTAACCACCGAGAAACAAATTGGGAACAGGACACTTAATAATCAGGAACACAGAAACAAACAATTGCAGACAAAATGGAAATTTCTAATATACAAAAGTTCTCCTAGAATTCTACTCTTGAGTGTTATGCTTAAGTAAACAGGGATTTTAAACTTTTTTGTATGTACAGTCTAAAAACATACTTTTTTTTTTTAACCTGAAGAATTCTCTAATAGTTTATTTTGTAAATTGTCACCAGCTTTTGTGTATATATATTTGGAGCAGTAGAGATGCAGGTTTCTATTCAATTACTAAATAGTTTTTCAAATTAGTCTTGGGGTTTCTTTTCTCTGTGGGCTCAGTAGATACTTCTTCTGTAAGAAAGTCATCCAAAGCTTTTTAGCCCTTTCTCCCACAAGTTTACAAAATGTTACTGTGTCAGATCTTTTCTCATGAGCAGTGACATTTTTTATTTGTAAGAAGAAATTGAATGCAATAAATGGACAGTATTTTCCCACCTGCTCTAACAGAAGTGTCAGGGTTCATTTCTGTTTGTCCTTGTAACACTGCTCTCTGGGTTGCTGTTCTTCTGGACCTCTTTGTGTCAAGGAATGTTATTTCTTTTCCAGAGAACTCTCTCCCCAGTGCTCTGCTTGTTTTGTTTCTTTTCCTTTAAAGCTCTGGAAGACTGTACATTCAAATCTGACTTTCTCAATTTTCCTGTAACCTCACAGTCTGACTGAAACACTGCTGCCTTTGGAAATGTTAAGGACACTGTTTACCTTCAAGTGGGAAAGCAGTTTATTGTCCTTCATCTCTTTACCAGTTAATTCAGGCAGCCATTTTCTTCTTTTTGTGCTAAGTTCTTCTGAGCTTTTTTGATATTTCTCCCTGTTGCTATTTTGATCAGCTCCAATGATTGTTTTGCTTCATCCTTTGAAACTTTTTCTTTTAATTTTCTTCATTTTGGGATCTTTTCTTTAGATACCAAGTTTAATTCCGAGTACAAGAAGTAGATGTATCTTTTAACATTGTGATAATTGGCTACAAGTCTTTGGTATCCAGTCACAATGAGATTCCTAAGTGCCAGGTTTACCCTTGAAAGGAGGGTAACTGACCCTTAATTCTGTCTCTCTTCGTTTATTATCACCGTTGAAGTCAGTTCTTAAAAGACCCCAAACCTTTACGAAATAACATGATAGAAAACTCACTTCCAGGAGCTTCAGAGCCAGGGCTGCTTTGTCATTGCCTCATTTGCTGCTGCTATTTTTGTTCTGGGATAAAGTAAATCTCCTTCTTTTGCCTGCTGTAAGAACAAGTTTTCCTGTGACATCATCTATGCCATAAGTTTTTTGGGAATATAATGAGTTAGCAATCGTAGACAATGATTTTGTGGGTATCATCTCAATGTTCTGCCATTTATTCAGTGCAGTACTTGATAAGACTTGACAAAAGAACAGCCCATGGTTCTTCCTCTCCTGCTTTCTTGGATGGGCCCTACAACTTGTAGACATTTCCACGTTTTGGAAAAATTTTGTTCATTTAACTGTAGTGATTGACAGGCCTTTGATCAGCACAAAGCCTGAGTGTCAGGGTTTGAGGTGCACCGTGGAGGAGACCTGTCAGCACCGTCTTTCAGCCACTAACTCCATGGCTGTAGTGGTGGGTTGATCCAGGAGAAAAACTGCAGTTGCAAAGATGTCTTTAAACTTTGGTTTCAAAAACAACAGCTCTGGAAAAACACTTACAAAGGCTTAGTGTTTACTGTAAGGTGGTGTGGCTGTCATAGAAAGGCTGTTTCCTACCTGTATTTTTTTATATGAAAGCCCATGGGGCATTTCATCCTTCCTGGAATAAATAAGGATTTCATAGAAACTGAAGTTTTAAGCAGTTTTTGAGCTAAAGCTGATTTTTTCCTAGTTTTATTTATTTATTGAAATTATAAAAGCCGAGTTCTTAACTAGAATAGACAATTTCCACTCACATTATTCAAGCATTTTTCTAGGGAATTTAGGAAACATTTTGGTAAGGGTTTTGGTATACAGTTTTATAGTGGAACAGTTTTATAGTTTTAAGTAGAACATGATCTTGAGAACATTGTCTTATGCATTTAACCGTGTGTCTTCTATTGCGTTGTCTGAAAGAAATTTGCATTCAAATGTAAATGTAATAGAAAGAAATTTTTATGTTTCTTAAAAAAATGTTATAAATATTTTGATCTAAATCTTACATGCAATTTAACAGGAATCACCAGATTTGATCTGCTTGGAGACTTTGGAAGGTTCAACTGGCTGGGGAACTTCTATATTGTATTATCTTACAACTTGCTCTTTGCTATCATGACAACGTTGTGTCTGGTCAGAAAGTTCACTTCTGCTGTGCGAGAAGAGCTCCTGAAGGCATTAGGTAACACAGCTCTGAGAATTCTGTTTGTGCCTGAACATTTCCTTTCTCCACCATTGATGCCTTGATGTGCATGCTACTGGTAAAGTTCTGGAAACTTTTCTTTTGGTGTAAGTTTCCATAAGTTAAGGTGAGGATTCATAGCGTTGTGGTTTCTTTTGAAGAGTCCAGAGCTAAGGTACAGTGTTGATTTTAATGATATGTGAGACTTGCTGATCTGCAGTTGGATTTTCAGCCTTTAGAGAGCACAGTAATGAGCAATTATTACAAACCAGAACTGCAGTTTATGTATGGGTTGGCTCTTTTCTTTTTTGTTTAAAGCAACTTATTAGTTCCTTAAAAATAGTGGAGCTCTTCACTGCTTTGTTGTGATGCTTTTTTCCAGCACGTGTTCAGAAAATCTTTGTACAGAATATACAGAATCTTAGTAGATGTCGGAGTCAAACCTATACCTGATATAACAAAAAATTTGATCAAATCGTGCATTCATATTTCTTGATCATAGAAGAAAGAATTGAAACACATTTGATACTAAGAGGATAAAATGTACATATGTATTCTTGTTGCTGCATCTTATCTTTACTAATTAACAAGTCTCCTGTCTTTTTAGATCCTTAGACTGGTATTTGCTTATATTGAGAGGATTAATGGTGAAACTTAATTGTTTCTTTGTAACTGTGGATTCAGTTTGCAGCATCTAAAAGTTGCTCGTGTTAGTTTTCACTGATTACTGCTTTCAGAGTTGTGATGCTGAAACAAACTCCAAGCACTTCTTAGAGTGCACTTCTGCTGGTAGCAAACTAGGTTAAAATTATTGTAAAATAATTATAAATAAAGTGTTTAATAAAAAATTATGTATGTTGAAGGCAGTGTAACAGACCTGAAAATGCAGGAGTAGTAGGGTAGGTGGTCACTGAATTTGACACAAGTAGGGAGTTATAAACCCTGAAATGTCCAGATTCCTGACAAAAACTGGATTTGTTTTCACTGCTGTACATAACAAACAGTGTCAAGAATGAGAACCAAAATTGGCCTATGACCAAAAGGAATTCATGTAATATTGGGAGTTACAAATAAGACACTGTTGAGGAGCTTTAGGTTCTTTAGTAGTGCTGTCAATTTTGGAATTCCAGCGATGCAAGAAATTTAGCTTTGTACGTCATGGCACTTGAGTAAAACATTCAGTTTAGTCTACACTAAATGAATAAGAAGCTCTTTCCATTTTTGATCCTTAATTTTAGAGGCTTGATAGGAGACTTCAGAGAGGAACTGTAGCAAGCAAGGAAGGACTGACATCATGCCTCTTGTGAATAAAATATGTTTAAATTTACCATCTTTCCCCACCTCCCCCTCCCTCCCCCAAAAAAGAGTAATTTAATTACTTGCCTGGGGCAGGATGTGAGACTTGAATTAGCACTAATAGTGGAGAACTGTGCAATAAGAACAAATGGCTGGAAACTGAGATAAATGATAATAATGTAGGCCTAAAAATGTTATTAGACATATAAACAGTTTAGAGAGGTGATATGGTCATCACCAGTGACATTCGGATCAACAACGAGTGATTTTCAGAAAGATGCTATAGTTTAAAAGAAGTATTTTAGGTAATTATTTAGGTCTTTGTAGGTTGACAGGGTAAAGTATTGCAAGCCTTTCTTGGTTCTTAACATCTAAGCCTGTGATTTAAGCAATGTTAAGTTAGGATTCTCTGGCTTCCATGCTTGTTCATTGTAATGAGCTTTTCTCGCTTAAACACCACTGAGGGAATTTCCCATAAGTAATTCTTACTGGAGCTAGAAGGTCAATTCTGGTCTTCAGCAAATGTGAAGTCCTTAACCACAAAGTAGAATTTGGAGTCTCTGTATTCTTTTGAACTCATGTATGCATGAAACATGAGAGAGTCTCAGTTTTATCTCATTCTTAATATTTTGCAGGATTAGATAAACTTCATCTATCAAACAATCCAAGAGACTCGGAAACAAAGCCGTCCGCAAATGGCCATCAGAAATCACTGTGATAACAATCACCTGCAATCAACAGAGCTGAAAACATCAACCTCATGGCATTCCCGTCATCTCATCAGCATTTTTAGATTGCTTTTGTTGTTAGTTTGGGTCCAGCCTTGTCTCATTTTTGATGCTCTGTGCTTCTGAGGAAGTTAGGTGTGTCACATTCTTCTCTTTCCAGTGAACTTTTGGTCTGCTTGTTTATTTCCCAGTAAGTTAATGCAGGAGGTGCCTTGAAGACTGGAAACTGAAGAGAATAACACATTCCTTTTTATTTGTTGAAAGTCTCACATCTTTATTTTTAAACTTGTTACCATTTTGAATGCACAGTACCTCCTGTGTTACACAAACACAGCTATAAAGAATAACTTTGGGACTTGGTTAAAAAAAAAAAAAAGAAGAAAAGATACACTTGAAGCCCAATATGACCCTTACTGGAAATGTAAAGTACCTGGAGTAGGCATCCTTGACAGGAGACAAACAGTTTTACAAGAGTGTGTTAAAAACAGCAGTAACTAGTGGACATCCCAGTTCCCCTGTGCTGCATACACACAGGCTGTGTCACGATACTTTCTTGGAAGGCCAGTGTTTTCAGCTATCTGTCCTTAGCTCTAAATGCCAGGTTGCTTTACTGGTGGTCAAACAATGTCTTATTGAAGTCCACATGAAGACTACCTTCAGTGTTAAATCTGAGCCTAGTATGCTTTGTAAAAAGCTGTGTAGACCCCCTGTCACAGCTCTTACAGTTCTGTGAGCTACTGTGCTGTGGAGGTCCTTTACCCTTCCCAGTACCCCCCTGTAAAATTCTTGATGAACTACTGTGTGTAAGCAGTACTTGTAATCAATGCAAGGAGCACAGGCCTAGGAGGCTGCAGTTGCAGTTTTCTACAGTCTTTAATTTGAAGTAAATTTCTCTGAATTTGTACTCCAGTTACCAGGATTTCTGTTCGGTGGCACAGTTCAGTGTCTGTCACTAGCCTGTTTTTTTAATGTACACATGAAGATGTATATAGGCCTATATGTATAGATATCGTAAATTAAGATTATAGAGATGACATAGGTGGTTTGATAAGTAAAACTTGTGTGTTCAATCTTGGTAGTTTGAATTTCTGCAGTGTTACAGTTTAACTGCTCAGAGGCCTTAGATTCAGGATGGCATTGGTGGGTGGTAACATCCTTTTTCATAGCATTACTGCAGCCTTGGGAATCCTGTAAGCAGTTTACAGTAAAGAAAAAAACCAAGTAAGTATTCAAAATCTGGTTGCATTTTTGTCCTGCTTGACCACAAGTAATCTTCAAACAGATTGGAATGGGGACATCATGTAGGGAGCCAGAAAATGTTCCTGTTTATTTCCCATTTCTATAAAACAACTGTGTCAGTCTGTCTGTAGTTTGGGGTTTTATATGTGATCAATTGGGGACAACTTGCTCTCCAGTGTGGTTCCGAAATAAGGTAAACCTTGTGTAAGAAACTCTTTGGCTGTTCTCCTGAGATGACTGCTCTGGGCTGTCGCCCTTATTGCTGTCTGTGTGAATGTCTGCTTGGTTTTTTCCCTAAAGTGCTTAAAAAATCAAGCTCTAGTACACACGAGGATTTCTCTCCTTTTTTTTTTTTTTTTTTTTTTTTAAAGCTGCCTTTTCTGACTTGAACTGGGGCATAATGTAAATATTGCTGTAGTAAATATGATGATAGAGAGTTACTTTTTTGTGTGTGTGATTGGTATAAATTCAAGGCTTATTGAACTGACTATTGATGTGTTGTACCAAGTCTTGGAAGACAAAGTAAAATTGCTTGAGTTCACTAAGATTTACAAGCATCTTTTCTGTTGTTTGAGTTTAATGCTGACACTTTAGAGAGAAATCTTTGTCTGAGTCAAAGTTCTGCAACCAGGAACAGGGAGCTGTAACTACAAGTTGTTTTAAAATGTGTTTACATTTAAAATATTGGGAGTTATATTGTTACGGGCACCATTCAGGTATTCTCAGAGCTTGTAGCCCTATGTATTAACATTGTATTTAAAAACAACTTAAATGTGTCCACTTCTTCATGCAAGTCATTGTATGACCAAAATTGTCCTCGTGTCTTGATGGGGCTGGTGAATTGTGATGTGTGAGGCCAGTTAGCTATATAGAAATATTTTTGTTACAAAATTAAGACAGTTATTTAAATACACTCTGTGAAACTGAAGCAATTAATGTTAGGAATACACCAAGGGAGTGTGAACCATCCTTGGTCTTGCTCTTCATGCCTTTGGAGAGATGTTTGTCCTGACTCCAGTGACCCAGGAACACAGAAAAGGGTGGATTATACTGTGTGTGTGGTTTCTGAAAGTGAGTTGGGCAATTACTTAAACTAAGCAGAGGCAGTTCCTGCTGAGAAGCACCCAAGCTTCAGGCAAGGCTTTAAAACTCATTTTCAAAACAAGCGTTGCAGCCTTGACTGTCCCCACCCCTTCTGCTGGATATTGCAGGCAGATGTATGGGTTAAGCTACGTATGGAAAGATTTTACACTGGAATCTGTGGGATGGTTGAGATGCTGTGTGGTTTCCAAGGTGAATGGGAAATTCAGAACTACCCTGTGCAACTGCTGACAGTGTTTTGATTTAAAATGAGCTGTTGATGTTGTGACACTGTCCACATTAAAATACACCTTTGGCCTTGAAAATGACATGCTTATGCAAAACTTTGTTTCTGCGTGTAAGATACAGGTCACTGTATACTCTTCACAGAACATATTGTCACTTAAATACAAGCAACTGGTAATTCATTAATGGATATTGACAGTACATTCCTAGTATTTTGACTCATGTAGAGTCAGGTGTTCTATACCTTCAAGGTATATACAGCTGATCTTAGTAACATTAACATCTGCCTCACTTCTTATGAGGCAAAAGCACATCAATGCTTCCATCTTCAACTAGATACCACACAAGACCAAAAAATAGATGTAAACTACGTGTTTTAAGTTAGCCGTTTCTTGGCTTTATTCTGTGTTAGTAGCACAATATTAAATGGAGTGGCAGAACTGTAATATTGTGGGGTTTCTAAGCCTAAAGCACACATGCTTATCACTTTTAAGCTAAAAAATAATGGTATTGGTTACTGTACAAGTAACAATTTTTGCATTCATAGGAAGCTTTGTTTACTGTCTGTAATGTGATGTTTATCTTTGTCCCTGTTCCTCCAATACCTTTGACCCTGTTGACTGTTTTAGTGTCATAGAAATTAAAGGATTTGACAAGTTGTTTTCCTTGTCTGGTTCCCAAGTACCACCTCGAGCACCACAGAGGGGAGGGCAGGAGCTCCTGCAGCCGTGTGCTCAGTGGGATGGACAGTGACACTTCCTCCAGTGTGTCACCAGGAGTGGTGAGTGCCAAGGGGCTGCAGCCCTCCTCTGTCCCACCAGGTCTCTGTTGCTCTCCTGTGTGTCTCTGCAGCAGCTGATGCTACTTGAGGTGCTCACATGTGCCCACTGCTGTGTAGTAAAGACACGATGGCCCTTTTCTTAAAGAATTTACTGTCTAAATTAGAAAGGAATAAGGTAGAAACAGGTAGAAAGGAATAAGGTGGAAGCCTCTTCCTGCATATGGGCTTTCCTTGAATACTTAATTTTTTTTTAAGATTATTTTCCTTTCTCTTTCTTTTCTTCCTCTTCTAGAAGCAGTATGGTGGCGTACATACAGCAGCTGAGCCTCAAGATCATATTCTCTGATCTTGAAAATAGCAATTTTTTCTAATCTAGATGAAATCATTTAAAGAGAGACAGAATACTAAGGCCTTACACATAAGTAACCTCTTTAAAAAGAAATGTGCTTAGTTTAATTTAAAAAAGTGTTGATGTGAACTGTGAACCTCTCATTGCTTTAATGAAATAAGATCCCCTGCTCCCTAGCACTAGGATTTTTGTTGTTATTTTAGTGCTGATTTGAGACAATATTCCCTACACTGACTTCCCTCCCCAACCCATGACCATTGAATTTGCTATTGGTAAGCTGGCAGGTTATTTCAGTCACATTAGCAGTATTTGAACTCTACAAAAATGCTTCTTTTGAATTCATCCCATTCAGGGAGAGCAGTCTAAGCCCACAGCCATCACCCAGATGGTGATATAACCTCTGCCCCTTTTTCTACCTTGCCCCCTGCCCTTACCTCAGGCAAGCTATAAACAGAATCTGTTGTATGAAGTTGTGATGGTCCTTTCTGTGATCCAGGTGTGAGATCAGCCCGTGGTGTGTCCCTCTGCCACACACAGTTCTAGGTGCTGAACTGGGTGACTTCAGGTGGGGATTGCAGACTTGGGTTTCCAGGTGACAGCTGGGGTGTTTTTGAGCTGGAGCTTGTCGCTTTTGGCTCTTTAGCTGGAGCTCAGAAGTTGTTCAGGATCTCCTGTCTGTACATGACTGTGCAGTCATTCTCTGTTTGAATGGCTTCTTGCTGTCCCAAGAGTGCTGCATGGCTCTGAGAGGAACTGTGTCCCCCCAGACCACAGTTGTTGCACTTTAACAATTAAAGCCTGAGAATATCGGTCAGAGTCTTAGGAAGGAGATCACATCTCGTGAGGAATTAACGCTAAATGTGGCTTCCAGAATCCCCACTGTGCCCAGTAATTGGGGAAGGGTGGTGGGAAATAACATGGAGCTCACCTGTGCAGACTGCTTTTGATTATATTCCTAGTTAGTCTTTAAAATTCCATATTACTAAAACTATATTTAAAATCCTCAAGTTCATGGAATTCGGGGGCTGATGAAACTTTTTTCTAAATCTGACCTTAATTCTTGAAGACATCTAACATCTCATCTTGCTTCCCTTTTTTGTGTTTTCAAGTCATTCACTGTCGTACTTGGTGACGTTGATGTTTAGAACAGATACTCTTCTTGATCCAGACAAAACATGAAATGACAGAAGAGGACTCTACATAGATCTGATGTATGCACTGTAAAAAAACATACCAGAAGGCAGCTTTAGTGGAAGGTTTTTGAAGTTGAAGCACCTAAAACTCTTCTTTCTAAGAGAAAGAAGAAACACATATCATTAGTATACAAATGTCAGTTGTAGGGTTTCTAAATATGCCAGTAATTCACTGACACTGAAAACAACTTCATCAATTCTTAGTATCTGTTTTGTGATTCACAGTGCAACGTTATCTTGGACTTTATAGAAGCCTGTGAACTTCTGAAAATATCTGTTGGCAACAGAAAACCTGAGGATGCTTGCTACTTCTGTGTTCATCACCATATTTTTTTCAGTAACTTTTAAAGTTTCATTTATTGCTCTTAGATTTTTTTTTTAAATATATATACCATTAAATGTTTTAACAAATATAGAAGGTAACTCCAAACAGCCAGTGGTGTCAGAAGTATCCTGTACATACTGATACTCCTGACATATCTAATTCCAAGCTATTTAAAAGCTGTATATGTATGAAGGCCTCACATAAACACAGAAATTAGGAAATCCTAATTCTTCAAGGTGTTTAGGTGTCTGAATGTTCATATGTACCTACATGAGCATTTTGGGATGCTGCTTCTAAATGTTTGTTGATCACTAACCTCAAGTGTTCCTGTTGCTTCTGCTCCCCCTCCCCTGATTACATTAAGTTTTGTAGTCAGCATCACTGGATGAAGCTTCTTTCCTGAACAGGGCTTTATTTTGCATTCCTCATATATTCAGTGCTTCCATAAATACCAGCTCTTGAAGTTTTGGGGCACTTGCTTTGATTTTAATATATTTCTTTTCTCACATAGCCTGTACAGAGACATTCCCTAGTTATAACTGTTCCTCCATTATGAAAATGTTAGCATTTATTCATTCTTTTTTTTTTTTTTACCACTAGATTCCATTTAAACAATCCTGTCACTAGAGCATCTTCTAACAAATTACCAAGAGATCAAGCCAGTTTGAGTTAGGAGTGAGAGGGAAAAGGTTTAGTCATTGCATATACTTGTGATTTTTAACTTCCAGTGGCGCGAGGCAGCCAGCCCCTTTCTCAGTGGGGGTGACGTGCTGGTACAGCCACTCTGAGCCTGTGCCGTGGCAGTCACTGCAGAGTGACTGATGTTCTGTGGAACTGCTCTGCAGTTCATCTGCCATGGGATTTATGGGAGTGGGACCACAGCTCTCTGTGCCTGCTGCCTCACTCCATCAGAGATGGACACACATCGTGTGGGCAGAGTGTTCTCCTCAGTCAGGCTTTGTGTGGTCCCAGGGTGAGGATTTCCATGTGATTTTGTACTTTTGTATTTCATGTGTATGAGCATGTTTTGGACCTTCTCTCCTGGTGTAAAATGGTCATTCAGAAAAGTGGCATGATGGCAGTACCTGTGCTGTGGATACAATGGATGTGTGGAAATGCTTAAGGAGAAAATTAATTGGTGCATGACTTCCCCATTTCCACCTAACCATGAGTTTTTCCAGTCTGGACAAAAATTCTTAGAGTCACAAAATCTCTGTGAGTAACTTTCTCTCCCCTGGCTTTATATAACTAAAGAAGTTGAACCACTTACCATTTCTTAAAGATAGGTTTCAAAAGTATTTTTCCCTTACCTGCTGTGACTTCTATTGCTTTAAAAACAAATGGATAGAAAATGAAGATACATTTGGGTCACGGATTTGTAATCTCAAAGTGTGTGTATGAAACACATGTATACACAAAAAAAGGCTACATTTCCTTTCCTTCCCTGTGGGGTTTGAGACCCAACCGTATGTTACCTAAATAGAAAACACACCTTGCTCTTGTCTCCATGGAGCTTTGTCTTTAAAATTCCCACTGAGGAGACAGAACATTTTCAGGGTGCTGCTGGCACTCTGATCCCTGTC